CGTCAGTGCTAATCCATGTATAATCCATTCATTTCGATAGTGAATTGATTATGGCGTATTTCAAGGGATCAAAAGCTCCATTAGCTTGCTTTGGAGAAATTTTTGAAAAGAAGGGGAACACCACTACTTTCTCTGTTTTGGTTGGAATTTGCTGTTATGCGCGTTCTATCAGCCAGGCTACTTCTGTTCGGTCGGAACTTCAAGTTTTATTCCGGGATGATTAGTTCTCGAACAAAAATATCGGGCGGAATTCAAATTTCTTACATCTGGATTCCCGGAGCGTAGACTTTCGTCTTCGTTATCCTTCTGCCAGTCCTTTAAAAACGTGGTTGGAAGCAAATTCGGTACATGTTGGCAGCGTCAAGTGGCGATTTGTGTTAATGCCATGCTGAAGGTACTTTGTTGTATTATGAGATTGGTAAGCGGATTATGTGAAATCGTCTCAAGAATCATGATTAACTTGATTGTAGGGTTTTTTTTTATCGCTATACATGGTAAAAATTGGCATCATTTTATCAACAAAAATTATGTATGTTTGAGATATTTTTTTTACAAAGGTTTTTAAGCCCAGTGCATTTTGGGATCCCAGTTACTGTTGCCAGTTTTTTTTTTTTTTTTGGAAATCATGATTTTTTGCCCATGTTTTTTTCACACACTGTAATCATATTGTAGCATACATTGCATGGTAAAATTTTCTTGAAAAATTCAAAAATAAATCATTTTAATCAATAATTTTATTGCAGTCATATGAATAAATTACTTTAAAAGTTGCACAAATATACTTTTTATCACTTCTTTCTCAGAGCTATCAGCAAAACTGGTTACTTTCCATTTTTCTCAAAATGAAGTCCGTAAATATATACCGGAAAATTTCCCGAATCTTTAAATATTTTGAGCATCCGTCTCGAAATTTTGAGCCGTCAAAGTTTGCACTTGGCACTGTGTTAACTCGAAAACTAGCTGGAAAACAGTGGCTGAAATTTTGCCAGCACATTTAACGCCCACATGGGAAATCATATACCTAATGTGAGTTCCGATTTGTACCCTCTCCCTCTTCTCTGAATTTTGCACCGAATAAATCTATGAGGTGTAAATTTCTTTGGAACGTAGGCATCCCCTTATATTAGTCAACATGAGCGGGCATTGTTAACAGTTCCAATATTGAAGTGGTAATTATTCATTAAATCTGGTTGCAACTGGAATGTTTCATCTCAGTGCTTAGTGAATTTGAACTGCATAAGTGGTAAAAACTTAAAAATTTACTAACTGCACCTTACGAGAAAGATTCGGGAAGAATGATTATTTATTATGTAAGGTTTTTACTGAAGATTAGTTGGCGCATAACGCCGAACAGACGGTAAATTTTAGCGGAAGGTACGCATCTCAAAATCCGGTTTAGCTTCACCTGATGTAAGGGAGCAACTCGGCAACTTCACTAACATGGGTTTCTCACATCGCCTAGTTCAGGAGATCCTGGTATTTTTGATTTTCGTCATGGAATGGCATTCCGTAGGCTATTGTACAAATATAAGCAGATTGTAGCAACCAGGTTGACTCTGAAAGTCTAAATTGCGAAAACACGACAGATTACAACATGAGAGAGGGAGATAAGGATAAAATACGGCTTTTCAGTCCATTAAGTCATATACGTCTTAACTCAACACTGTGCGACAGGACCTCGTCAGTATGACGGTCGCAGTGCTTAAACGGGAAAGAGAAAAGGAAGACAACAGAAGGAACGAAGAT